TTTCTTGACTCCTGTGGACATTAGTGGATCACAGTTCTGGAAACTGTTCTGCCACTGCAACAGTCCAAGTAAGACATAAATGGGAGGTTGGCAAAGACAAAGGAGGATGGTTGTGAAAAGACAGCAGAAACAATCTAAATGAAATAAACGAAACCTTGTTCAAATATGCAATGTATCCTTGTAAACATGAAGATTTCTCCTTTAGTCAATTACACTCTCATTTCCAGTTTCTCTAGCCCATTCGCCACACTAAAATCTCTAAAGCTGACTTTCCCAACTCCTATATCTGCAGCGCTAGCAGGTAATATAAATGAGGGGCTACACCTGAATTAAGACATCAAGAAGTGGTGAGACCTACAAAACATAAGGTTTAAAGGAGAATCTGTGACTTAGTTTTGCCTGTTACCATGTAAGAGAAAAGTCCAATGGTACCAGATCTTTTCATTTTTTCAAGAGATGTTTAAAATGTAATTTTTCTGTGTAGTTTTCTACACTCTATTATATCATGTATATCAAGTTATCTGTGGGTTGAATCTATCCTATAGACAGCTTCCAACTTCTGTTCTAAAGCTTCAGAGCAAAATCATCAGCTCGTGCAGGTTTCCAGACTTAGAAAAGCAAGAAACTTGGAAAGCTAGCATGCAGACAGAGGCCAGACTATGAGACAATGTAAAGGGGTTAGCTTCTGTGCTAGGGTTAGGCTCAGTGGGAGAGTGGCACTTATGGAAGGGAGGGAGGGAGGAATTTTTAAAGGGGTAACTTTCAGGAATGGTCTAAAAAACTCACACTGCACAGCTGTAAAAAGTTGGTGTTGGAAAAAAAATCTAACAGGAATTTTGAAAAAGTTCCACTTAGAGGAGGCAAGGGTGAAAGAACACTAAAATGTGGACCCTTTTTGACTGAGAAAAAGAGAAAGGGAATATGATTGACTGTACACACACACACACACACACACACACACACACGTTATTCCACTTCTCTATGCCTTAATTTCCTTAACATTAAAATATAGAACTTATTTCATAGGACTACTATAAGGGTTAAATAGGGTAATCATGCAAAAAATTGTCATTACCCTTGTCATATAATGTTTAGTAAATGTTAGCTATACAGGCAATGAGAGGCGAAGTAACTTGCTTAAGATCACATGGCTATTATTACACCTGGATCTGGCTTCAGATTTTATACTCTTAAACCAGTGGTGGCAAACCTATGGCATGCATGATGCACAGGCTTTTGTATCACTGAAAGCTCTAAAAGGTTTACCATCATGGCTCTAAGCCATAAAGTGTTCTGCCTCCTCTTATTTTGCTGGGCTAGTTTCTTAATCTGTACAATGAGGAAGTCAGATCAGATGATAACTAAAGTCCATTTAAGAGTTGCTATTTTATTTTGCCAGCCAGCCCTCTAACCAGCTTATTTTAGGGCAGTAGTGGGACAAAAGTGACTCTTACTTCTACACCCACAAACTATCAACTTAAAGCAAAGCAGTGTAGTTTAGGCTGAGAGTAAGCCAGAGAATCCATTCAAGAACTGAATAAGCTGTAAGGTAAGCCAAGAAGGAAAAGATGTTCATTGTATCAATCTTTTCATTGCTCCAATGAAATTATATTTGTTTCTTAAGAGACCAGTAGTCTTTCTGAGTAGCCCCTGAATTCACCCACATGTCCATGCTATTATACAGGCTGGAAGTCACAGGCTGGTAAGGAACCACAATAGACTAAATTTCAGAACACTAAGTAACTCTTCCGCTTTTTCAGGTAAGGGTCTGTATGAAGATCTGGTAAAAGCTTTCTCTTGTCCCAGGAAAAAAAAGCCACATATGTTCACTCAGATAGATGAGCACATACAATTTTATCCACAACTATAAGAGGTTTACAAATTCCCTAAACTTCTCCCTACACGTCAAGTATCTCTAATACAGATCTATCCTATTCTAGCTTGTCCACCCAAGGGACCCAAAATTGTCCCCAAGATCTGGGTTGGGATTTCTAAGCAGATGTGCTTAGGAGACAAATTCTCTACAGCAACCTAGCGTAATTAATCCTATATGGAAAAGAAAGAGCCCTCTCTCCCTCCACATCAACTTGTTCTGAGGGAATTCAAACAGAAAAGATCTGTAATTTAATCCCTAAACTCCAGTGGATATAAAATCAAGAAGTATTTAAGAATATTTCATACCCTTTTTCTTCCTGACACCCAAACACCACGTAACATTAGAAGAGCTGAAATAAACAGGAAAAAACATCCCAGTTCCCATGGCACTGTGTTTATCCATTTATTCCAAAAAAGGAGTCAGGCAAGATTGCCAATTAGCTTTATTAGGTGACATTTCTCCCATATGGGCTTTGAAAACTATAGGTTACCAAAGAAACCACAAAATTTCAGTCATAATTGAAGAAGAAATCAAAACAAGAAGGTATAATTTTCCCCCAGAAGGCTAGCAACAGTTTAAGTGCTAGTTAGGATCTAGAGCAACGTGTAGAGTTAAATATAGTTTGCAGGCTTACAAGTCAATGCAGCCTTTGGTGGTGGGGTATAGTTTAGACAATTTTTATCAAAAATTTCAAAACACACCTCCTTTGATGGAACAAGTCCTTAAGATATTTTGTAAAAGTAAGCCAAAGGAGATATATACCTAGATTCAATGCAGCTTTGTTTATAATAACCAAAAACAGAAAACAAGAAATCCTTGTTTATGGGTATATCATAGTAATGAAATATCACACAGCCATTACAGGTATGCGCCAGAAATGTTAAGTGCTGATATGAAAAGATGTCCAGACATACTGATTGAAATAAGAAATTGGGAACAGTGGGTATTATTATATGGTTCCTTCAGTTTGAATTCTTTAAGGGATACATATACATGCTAGTAACTGCATTAAACTGGGCCCTAAAAAGATATACACAAAACTGAAATTGTTAACTGTGATTACCTTTGGAGAGAGTGACCAGAATCCAGAAGCAGAAGAACCATACTGATGTACAAACATTCAAAAAGCATACAAGAAAAAAAAGCATACAAGTAACAGAAATAAATTCAATACATTTATAAGTAAACAAATTATTGAATTCAATAAATAAATCTAATAAATGTTACTGTAAAAATAAAACAATGATCATCACTCAGATTGGTAGGGGTTGTCTGGGAACTAAACTTAGGACTTTTGCATTGAGTTATATTCTCACTCTCATATTTAAAATTTGAAGACAGGGCCTTGCTAATTTACCCAAGTTACGCTTGAAATTTCAATCCACCTGCCTCAGCCTCCCAGATGTTTGGATTATAGGAATACTCAACTATGCCTGGCTAACTTAGAATTTTTTTTTAAAAAAGAAAAGAAACCATATTTAATGAGGAAACAAGTGGAAAGGGGAGGAAAGGGGAAAAGAGCCCATATGATGCACAGCAAGAAACTAGTGGAAGAGACTGGAGGAAATCAAAAGGAGAATTAAAACACATTCATATCCCTTCTTCTCCTAAGATACTGCTGACATCATGAATTAGTCAAGCTTTCCACTGGAGATGATTAGCTCAGTGCCCACTCCAGTTAGGAGCTATTCATTGCCACTGTAAGTCGGCGAGTCATAGGTTGGGAAAGGGCTGGCATAGTCAGTCTCAATCCTGCCTTCTGTAATACTAATGAGGCAGAACAGCTATTCTTCAAAGGGCATGAAATGGCAGAGAACACTACTGCTGAACGCAGGAGACTGTCTTCCTTACAGGCAGTGCAAAGGCACATTAGGGGCCAGCCACTACATGCACTGGAAAAGCAAGAGCCAGGTCTGTGTGCAACACAAAAATGTGGGAGAAATTGCTGCTCCCCTATGGAGCTTCAGGGACCCCTGATCAACACGAGGGAACCCCTCTGAGCTATACAGATCTGCTGTAATAGTTCTAATTCCTTCTGACTGCCTCATGGAGGCAATTAGCTAGGACTAAAATTGGAGGAAGAAAATCCTCTATACATACTGCCCTTTTCATCTGAGGTCCATTAAACAAATTACAACCTTGTATGCTGTATACTTTCTATGACATTCTTTTGCAATACTGCTTTCCAAAGTAGGAAATTGCCTCCACAATGGATTTCCAGGAGCTAGCTGTCTTTTATGAAACAAGGGTGGCTTTATGTACAGGTGCCATAAAAGGTCATCCTTCCCTCATAGGATTTATGAAATATGAAAAGGCCTTCTATTTGCCCCTATCCCCACATCCTTCATTGCCTGAAATTCCTCTATTAGTGATTCATACTACTAGGTCAGGATAATTCTAAGTGTACTTGTTTAATAATAATGAAAATAGAAGAAACTCATATTTCAGTTTTTTTCGTTTGTTATTTTGTACCAGGGATCGAACTCGGAACCTTCTGCTTGCGAAGCAGGCAGTGGAGGTACCAATGAGCTAAATCCCCAGCCCGATTATATTTCTAACACCACCATAAACTGGTTCTTAACCTTTTGTTGTTGTGCTCACTAGTCCTTTCAAAAAGCTGGAAAAAACAAACTTCTTTCTCAGAAAAACACTTATATGAATATAAAATATATATTTTCCATACAATGTTGGGGTTCAGAGCTCCCCTGAAGCCCATCAGAGGACCCTCTTCATTCTGGGGTTACGAACCTCTGGCTCAGCAGCAATCAGTCTGGCAAATCTCCATATCCCCAGCCCTCACCCACCAAGAGTACCCGTACATCTACACAGTGGTGGGCCTCAAAAGAGAAGGCAGTTACTGAAAGGAGGCTCATTCTTCCATAAAGTTGCCTGGAACTGACTTGTCTAGAGTCCAGATTACAATCAGCAGGGAGTATGGCCTTCTCATTCTGCCTGCTGCTCAGGAATAGGCTCTCCTTGGATCAGAGACACGAGTACATGTTCAGAGATGCGCAATTGAGAGCAATGGCCAAGCAAGTTCTCACAACATTTGCTGGTTGATCACTTTACCTGAGAAATGAGGGAAGGAAAAGTTTGAAAACTTTATGAATCAAAAGGGACTCACCTCTGAGGTTTTCGAATATCCCAAAGTCCTACTCCTTCCTTTGAATTGGCTGTGGCCAATAACCTGGGCTCTACAGGGTTAAACATGACACTATGAAAGGCTGAAGGATAGTTTGCCAGGCAGAAAGGCTCTGTGAAAAAAGAAATTACAATCAGCTCATTCCAGGAACAGTAGGTCAGTGGCAGGCAGATGAGCAGAGCTGAATGTGAGTAAAACACAATGACCACCCCAAAGGGCCAGAACCCCAACACAGGTACCCTTCCTGAAGGTCCCTCCAAGCTTGTACACATTTTCTGTGTACAACAGAACAACAGCTACTTAAATACATTTAACTAAATTTTAAGTCATAATACTCAGAAATCTATGCAACACCGTAAGGGGAGAAAGATGAAATATTTTACAGTTAGTAAAACTGAATTCCACATGAGCTTAAAATAATTCATGATCAACTTATGGTAGGATTATGTTTTTAATCCAAATTTATTTTTAACAGATTTAACAGATAAAGCATGACAGTGAAAATATTAAGGAAAACAATAGTGCAATTCTCCTGGATTACAATGCTAAGTGGCTCATTGTGGACTTTTATGACTTGATTGCCTGTATTATTTTTACTTTTTTAAAATGCCTAATGCCACCGGGCATGGTGGCGCACTCCTGTAATCCCAGCACTCGGGAGGCTGAGGCAGGAGGATCGCTGTTGAGTTCGAGACCAGCCTGGGCTACAAAGTGAGTTCCAGAGCAGTCTGAACTACATAGTGAGACCCTGTCTCAAAAAAACAAAAAAAAACACCTAATGCTTGAACTTCTCTTGCATCCAGCCAGTTCTTAGTCAAATTCACCTAGAGCCCTTGCATCCATTTGCATAAATTATAAAGAAGGAATCATTTTGCTACCTAAAAGGACACATTCCTGTGGAAGCTGTTATAGTCAAAGATAGAAAGTCCTTTTCTGACTCTGATAGCCACATACAGTACTGCACAAGCCTCTAGAAAGTGAGGTGCTCAGTCATCCCACCATCACGCAGCAAAGACAGAGGAAAACCTCCTCTCCCAAGTACAAAAAAACTCAGCGACAGCCACTTCTTGCTGTGACCTGGCCTGTCTTAAGACTATAAGGACAAGCTTCTCTGATAGCCTGGACCTCCATAACAAGCACAGCTCAGACTGTTCAAAGCTTGAAATATAAAAAAAATAAAGGCTAGGATGTAGCTCAGGGGTAGAGTACTTGCCTAGTGTGTGTGACACAGCTCTGGGTTTGAGTCTATGCACACACTCCCAACACAAACACGTGTGCACGTGCACACAGACTCAAACCCTGCCAGACAAAGCAGGTAGGACAGCAACAAGTGCAGACATAGGCAATCATCATGAAACCAAATTAAGGGGGGGGCATGACGGTGACACAGAGGTGGCACTGGAGAAAAGTGGCATTTGAAGACAGTTGCAGAGAGAAATCCCTCTGTAGGAAATGACCTGAGAAGATGCATTTCCTGAAGAACGTCAGAGAAAGTTCTTCATTTCACATGCCACAGACTAAAAAGAGTACATTTCGAAGAGACACTTAAAGACAATTGCCTGTACAAGGAATATATATCTGTTCCTTGGGTTCACTAAGGGCCAACACACAAGAGTTTGAGCAAATTCATCAGTATCTGAAGAAGAGTTGGCAAAGGTGCCCAACTTCTAAGACTTAGAGCAGGATGAGACTTCAAAAGACACACATGCATGCTGCCATGTAAGTCTCATGTTTTTTCTCCCTTAATCTCATTCATACCTAGATACACAGGTCATCAAATTGTTCAAGAAAACAGCCTTCTATACAGTGATCCTACCTCCATGAGGAGACTCCCGGATGTCCCAAATGAGAACTCGGCCATCATCTGAAGAGCTGGCAAAAATGTTGTCATTTACTGGGCTCACCGACAAGCCATATACTGCATCTTCATGAGCAAATACATCCAAGGTCTCGCTGCTAAGAAATGGAGTGAGAGAGAGAGGCACACAGGCACACACAAACATGCCCACAAACACAGTGTAGTCCCAGCCCTTTGGCAACTAAACTGTGTAGTCTCTTTGTTCCTATGAGAAAGTCAACCTAGCTGAACATAAAGAATACTGCATTTCCTAAAAGGTGAGTATTCAACTTGCAAGTGTGTTCGTGGATGGGGGGGTACTATTTAAAGGTACTATTTCCACAAATTTCACAATAATTTTCACACTAAGAATATTCAAAAGTGACTCAACAGCTGACTTTTCTGTTTTCATTTATTACAGAATGTATTTACTTGTGTCCAGATTTGAGGGTAGTACTTTATTTCCAAAAACCAAGGGAAGCTTTAAAGCAGCCATATATGATTACAGAGAGATAGAAAAAGATCTCTCAGCAGTCTGGCATGGTGTTTACAACCACAACTCTGAGCTGGACATCCTAAAATCAGGTCCTAGCATCCTTTGACTGTAGGTTACCTAACATCTCTGTGATTTCTTTCCCTCTTCTGGAATGGAGATCACATGATCATGATGGTTAAATCAATTACAGTAATACATACAAAACACTTGGAATGGTTTCTGGCACATGACAGTAAGAACTCTACAAACATTAGCGATGATGATGATGATGATGATGATGATGATGATGATGATGATGATGATGAATGATGATGATGATGATTTTGAGACTGGCTCTTCCTATGCTGCCCAGGCTTTTTTTTTTTTTTTTAATTTTATTGAGTTTATTGGTACATTTTAGGTATACAGTACAGTTACATTCATTGTTGGGATAATGTACCTCTACATGGCAAGTCTTGATTCTCATTTTTTCCCCTTTCCTCTGCCCTCCCTTCACCCCCTCCTCCCCTCCCCATCTACAAACACTTTATTTTCATCTTTTCATTCTCTCACATTTTTTTCTTTTCCCTTTTTGTTCTTCCCCTACGCATCACACCTTCCCTACACCTTTAGCTCCTTTCTTCAAATTTCTAAATGTCAGTAATCTTATTAGAATCTTATGCATTGTTGCAGAATATTCACACCAGGGAAACTATTTGGTATTTACACATGTGTGACTTATTTATTTCACTTAGGAGTATATCTTCAATATGTATCCATTTTCCTATGAATGAATCTATTCTCTCGCTCTTTATGGCTGAGTAATATTCCATTTTATAGAAAAACCACAACTTCTTTATCCAGTTTCCAACGGATGGGCAAATAGGTTGTTTCCAAGATTTAGCTATTACAAACTGTGCCGCTATAAACATGGGTGCACATACTTCTCTGTGATATGATTCTTTTAGTTCTCTTGGAAAGATACCCAACAGAGGGATGGCTGGGTCAAATGGAACCTCCAGTCCAAGCTCTTTGAGGTATCTCCATATTGATTTCCATAGTGGTTGCACTAGTCTGCACTCCCACCAACAATGGAGGAGGGTTCCTTTCTCCCCACAACCCCGCCAACATTTGTTATTGTGTGATTTCTTGATAGCAGCCATTCTTTGTGGGGTGAGGTGGAATCTCAGTGTTGTTTTCATCTGCATCTCTCGAATGACCAGTGATGTGGAACATTTTTTCATATATTTTCTTGCTGCTTTCACTTCTTTGTATGAGAAATGTCTGTTCATTTCGGATGCCCATTTTTGGATCGGGTCTTTATATTTGGGGGGACTGATTGTTTTGAGTTCTTTATATATCCTTGATAATAGTCCTTTGTCTGAGGTACAGCTGGTAAAAATTTTTTCCCACATTGTAGATTGTCTCTTAGTTCTGCTAATGGTTTCTTTTGAAGTACAGAAGCTTTTTAGTAAGATGAGATCCCAGTTGTTGATTCTTTCTGCTAGTTCCCGTGCTACTGAGGATTTGTTCATAAAGTCTTTTCCTATACCAATGTCTTCCAGAGTTCTGCCTAACTTACTTTCCAGCAAGTTTAATGTTTCTGTTTTAATATTTAGATCTTTAATCCATTTGGATTTTAATTTAGTGCATGGCGAAAGATAAGGGTCTAATTTTAATCTGTGACAGGTTGATATCCAGTTTTTCCAACACCATTTATTAAAGAGGCTATCTTTCCTCCACTGAGGATGGTGAGCTCCTTTGTCGAAGATGAGGTAGCTGAGTACATCTGCATTTGTTTTTGTGTCTTCCAGTCTGTTCCATTGATCCTCAGGCCTATTTCTTTGCCAGTACCATGCTGATTTTATCACAGTGGCTTTGTAGTATAGTTTCAAATTGGGAATTGTTACACCTGGTGCCATGTGACTGTTGCCTATAATGGCTTTTGCTATTCTAGGTCTCTTGTGGTTCCAAATGAATTTTTGGATTCTTTTTTCTAGTTCTGTGAAATATAGTGTTGGAATTTCAATTGGCATTGCATTGAATGTATATAGCAGTTTCGGTAGTATGGCCATTTTCACTATGTTGATTCTTCCTACCCAGGAGCAGGGGATATCTTTCCATTTTTTTATATCCTCTTCGATTTCTTTTTTCAGAGTGCTGTAGTTTTCAGTGTAGAGATCTTTTGTTTCTTTTGTTAGATTGATTCCTAGATACTTCATTTTTTTGGATGCTATTGTAAAAGGAATTTTTTCCCTTATTTCTCTTTCTGTCTGTCTGTTATTTGTGTATAGAAAGGCTATTGATTTTTGGGTATTCACCTTGTATCCAGATACTTTACTGAATCTGTCAATTAAGTCTAGAAGTTTTTTGGTGGAGTTTTTTGGATCTTCAATGTAGAGTATCATATCATCAGCAAATAATGATAGTTTAACTTCTTCCTTTCCTATCTTTATTGCTTTAATTTCTTTCTCTTGTCTAATTGCTGTGGCTAATGTTTCCAGAACTATATTGAAGAGAAGTGGCGATAGTGGGCATCCTTGTCTTGTTCCTGATTTTAACATGAAGGTTTTCAGTTTTTGGCCATTCAATATGATGTTGGCTGATGGTTTTTCATAAATAGCCTTTATTAAATTGAGGTATAGACCATCTATTCCAATTTTTTGCAGGGTTTTTATCATGAATGGGTGTTGAATTTTATCAAATGCTTTTTCTGCATCTATTGAGAGGATCATATGGTTTTTGTCCTTGACTTTGTTAATATAATGTATTACATTCACTGACTTTCGTATGTTGAACCACCCTTGCATCTCTGGAATAAATCCGACTTGGTCATGATGGATGATCTTCTTAATAATCCTCTGTATTCTGTTTGCTAGTATCTTATTAAGGATTTTTGCATCTATATTCATTAAGGAGATTGGTCTGTAGTTCTCCTTTTTGGTTGTATCTTTCTCTGGTTTGGGAATCAGAGTGATACTTGCTTCCAGGAATGAATTTGGAAGTATAGCTTCTCTTTCAATTTCATTGAAAAGTTTGAAGAGTAATGGTAGTAGTTCTTCTCTAAATGTCTTGTAAAATTCAGCAGTGAATCCATCAGGGCCTTGCCCAGGCTAGCTTTGAACTCACAGCCCTCCTACCTTGGCCTCCTAAGTAGGTGGGATTGCAGGTGTGTGTCACCAAACTTGGATAGTTATAATTACTATTAAGTATTATTTCCCTTCCTCTTCTAATTGCTCCATATATATGTGAGTGTATATATATATATATATATATATATATACACACACACACACACACATATACATATATGATAATTTTGAAATAAAGTTTTGATTTTAAAAAAGGAAAAAGGGGGCTGGGGATTTAGCTCAGTAGTTTGGTGGCTGCCTCGCAAGCACAAGGACCCAAGTTCGATCCCCAGTACCAAAAAAAAAAAAAAAATCACAGGAAACTTTTTCAGAAAAGCACTATTAGTTTCACATTATTTTCCTTAAAATCTAATTTTTGTCTAAAAAAATTTGGCTGTCATACATAAAAAATAGTTGATCGCTGTTTTATGCTTAGGTTTGAAAGAGAAGGGAGCCAACATGTGGTAATGTGATTGGACGCAAGGGTGAGCTCAGACAGGAACGGACTGGGGTGGGTGTCCAGTGAGGCCTGTCTGGTTAAAGACTTCTTGACCTGATTGTGTAGCATTACTACCTCTTGGAAGAATGACCTTTCTAGACTTTAGAACTTTCTTTAGGGGATAGAAGTTTTAGTCTCTACAACACACCTTGGGGAAAGGAATTCTGGTTTCAGGGACTTAGAGCAGAAAAGAAGAGCCAGAGGCAGGAAGGCACAAGTCAGTCAAAGACCTTACTTCTTCGGACTTCCAGTATCCCTCATTTAAGTGCTCAGCTTGCCATAGTTCCATACTTTGGGGTCTTGTTCCCTGAACTCTAACAAAATGGAAGGGTTTTCTGCATTTGAAGTTAACTGCGACCTGTGTTTTCATTGCATTTGTTCAGTTTTAGCATGCACTGAATGAGAACGAACCACGTTAAATAAGAATGCCACTTGGTAGAAGAGATGCTGCATGTTTAACTATGTAAGTCTTACTAAGATTAAGTTCTTGTGTCCTCTGAGCTGTCTCTGTAAGCCTCTTGCTGCTATCTAAAATCTGTGTATCTCTCTCTTGAGTGTTCTAACAAAGAATAATACAGATGCCAGTTTCAGGAAACTTAGTCCTGAATTTTGTTTTTTACTATAATATTTATATGTTGATGTTAGCTAGAAAATACGACCAGAATTAAAGCACATGTAACCTGGAATCTCATTTTTCACATTCTGTAGGGAAAAGACCTTCAGTTTGGGAACCAGTATATAATACTCAGAGTTGTGGGTCTGTAACTGTTAAGTGCCTTTCAATAAGAGTTGTTGGGAGTGCCCCAGGGAAAAGTACGGCATTTAAATTAGACTTGTTAGACCTTGGCATATATCCCTTGAATTGGAAGTCTGTTTGGATATCTTCAGTGGTAATTCTTAATGAACTTACATTGTACCTTTGAATAAACTGACATTCTAAATTAGTAGACATAATATTTTAAAAGCGAAATAAAAATAGAATTTTGAAAAAAAAAAGTTGATCACCTTTACACATCAACAATCTATTTACCTTTCAACATCATGGAGGATAACTTGTTCATCATTTCCTGTAAAGGAAAAAAGCAGACATTTGATTTCTGCAAGTTGGTGCCTGACCACATTGCAATGTAGTATTTTTGAGTTTTCATAGAAAAATATGAACATAGTCATTGTTAGTACTAATTAGGAGTATTAATTTTAAAAGGTTTATAAAAATAATTTAAGGATGGGACATTCTTACAGAGAATTGTAATAAAACATAATAGCATAAGGTATAACATAATAACAGTTTAAGTTATATTACCCAGGGGATTAGGCAAAGACTTTGGCCATTAAGGAAAATAGTGAATGATCAAATAATTTACTCATCCAAGATAGCTTCTCCCATCTTCCAGCAAAACACTCATTCACTAAGACTGGACTAACATCTCTAGCATTTCTATACCCAGCTGTTTATCTGAACATAGAGATAGTAAGTGGATCTATTTCATAAGGCTGTTATAAGGATATAAGTCTGTAAAAGCATTCAGAACAGGCTGAGCAGCTGATAAGCCTATAACAGTGATGGTGAACCTTTTAGAGCATTCAATGATACAAACAGCCCACTAGGGCACGGGTGTCATAAGTCTACCACCAATAGTCTATAATAAATGTGTGCTACCATTCCCACCTCATCTTCCTTTATAGCATTAAAATGTGGAAACTGTGATTCTAAATGATGGGAGTTTTTCTCTACAACCTTTTTTTCTCTTTTATCAAAAGGTCTAAAAATATATTCATGACATGACTTCAAAATGGTTTATATAGGGCTGGGGATTGAGCTCAGTAGTTCTGCCGCCTGCCTTGCAAGCACAAAGACCTGAGTTCAATCCCCGTACCTAAAAAAAAAAAAAGGTTTATACAGCCAAAAAAAACCCCACAAAAACTTGAATACCAAAAAGACTGTAAGATATATCCCACCCTATGCTTAAATGTATACCCAGTAATCACTTAATAGGAAGCAAGAGTAGCACTAAAGATATGGTTCAGGTAAGCCCTCCCTGTACATTCTACCATGGAATTTATAAAAATGACTTCTAGGATTCAGGAATAGTGCTAGGGGATGAGGATATGAGAACAAGATTCTGCCCCATCCTTCAGAAACTGACAGTCTAAACACACAAACTAGTAGCATCAAGATTTCTCTCAGTGATATGGTTTAGCTATCGGACATTCTTCATGTGCAGAAAGAAGGTGAATGAAAGAATAAGACATTTAAAAAGACACTATTACTCAAAATGCTTACCAATGAAAAGGTACCAGAGAGTTAAGGTGCAGAACAGCATAAACAAAAAGCTCATGGGGGTGCCGGGGATTTAGCGCAGTGGCACCAGGCCTGCCTTGCAAGTGCAAGGTCCTGAGTTCGATCCCGGTACCAAAAAAAAAGCAGATATCAAATGGGGAATCTGCAGCTCAGAAGAGAAGTAAAGTCTAGAAATTTGGTGGTCAGAAGTGGGTAGCTGATGAAAGACATCACCAAAAGGTTGGCACTAGCCATTCTAATCATATACTAACATAATCCTTTTCAAACAAGAGTTATCTGTGGGTCATGACATCAAATTCAGTTTTGGCCAGCAACTTTAAAAATAAAACAGGGGGACATTGCTGGACTATGTAGCAAGAACCTGTCTAGAAAAAAGAAGGAAGAAGAGGAGAAAGAAATACAATCAAAAACAAAATCAAGGGGCCAGGGATTTAGCTCAGTGGCAACCGCACCTGCCTCACAAGCACAAGGTCCTGAATTCGATCCCTGGTAACTGGGGGGAGGGGGGGTCAAAAGTATAACCATATAGAGCATATATAGTAAGGTAAGTTGGTAAGTTGTATGCGAGTACCAGATTTCAACACAAAAAATGTTGTGCCAAAGAGAAAGAAGATAGAGAGAGGGGGTAGGAGAAAGGATGAGAAAGAAATGAATCCATCCTAACTCACATGTCAAAACTGCTATAAGAGAATACAACCTATGGGAAAGCCAGTAATTCTATAGCTCAATAATATACAGGAAGAAAAATAAGGAATAAATTTAGCCTCCTAAAATTCCAATCACAGAAAAATTCTCTGTTCTTACCTCCAGAAAAAACTTTGGTGTTCCCACTGTTGAAAGCCAAGCAAAAAATGTTGGAATGGTGCTCTCCTTTCAGCTGTATGGGCTTGACCCTGGAGTGGATGGCTTGTTCCATGTGCCACAATAAAACCCGGCGGTCATCGCCTCCTTGAGAAGGGGACAAGAATATAGGATTAAAAGAGCTGACAGTGCAAGGCTGACACTTGATTCTGCCAGCCTCAAATCCCATGCTTTCCCAAAACTGCACCTCAATTCCAAAAGATTCTGATGGGGCACATAAACCCAGACTCCACCCATCCTCTCAACCCTTGGGATGTACGACCTCTAGGCCACTCATTCTCGTCCAGCAATTAAATCTTACACAGATAATACAGAAATTGACAGGCATAAGCATTTATATAGAGACCATCTTCCAAGTCTACCCTGTTCCTATCTTTCTAGGGACTCAAATGTTTATTAATCTGCTACCTAGAATCTTTCTACATAAGTTCTTAAAAATCTAACCAAAGAACCCTGAAATAAAGAGTTTTACCACAACAGTTTTTAAACCAGTCTGCATGATGGGATCTCACACTGATTAAGAGCAAGTGTATAAATGAGAGCAAAGAAAGTACCAAACTGTAGTAGGAGTGTAACATAACCCAACTCTCATAGGGCTCTTACTTCAGAAGTCTGAAGTAAGTAATATTACACTGCATGAGCTAATCTTCCAGAGAATATGTATCTTCTATACTTTTATCTGAAGATGTGCTAAAAATGTTTGGAAGAGGCTGGGTGTGGTGGCACATGCATGTAATTCCAGCATCCGGGAGGCTGAGGCCAGGCTGGGCTCCACAGTCAGTTCAAAGCCAGCCTGAACTACACTCAAACCCCCACCAAAAAAAAAGTTTGGAAGAATGAAAAAACTGTTAATAACAGTTACTTCTAGGGAGCACAATTAGACAAGTAATTTTTGACATACTGTTATTTTTTTGTAAAACAATAATACAGTCTTCTCTTATTAAAAATTTTTAAATTACACTAGCACAAATATCAAGCTCTGCTTCTTCTCCTGTTTAATTAAAAATAAAGCATCTTGGCTAGGATGAATAGCTCAGTGGTAGAGTATGTGCTAAAGAATACACAAGGTGCTAGGTTCTATCCCTAGCACCAGATTAAAACAACAACAAAGACAACCCAAATTTTTAAAAGGGCACACCATAAGGCATGAAGTTATTACACCTACTGTATAAGAGCTATGAGGGAGAGATAATTTGAGAAGAGATAAATTAGGTATAAAAGTGCACCAATGCCCATTTTTATAATACAAAAAGCTTTTAAAGCTCCAAGACAGTAGGAACCTTTTTTCATTTTTGTTCACTGTGGAATCCCCAGCACATAAATGAATGTACCCAAAGAATAGGAACTGGATAAATATGCTTAGTTAGGGCCATGGATTTAGCTTAGTGGCGGTGCACCTGCCTCACAAGCACAAGTTCTTGAGTTTGAGCCCCAGTATGGGGGGAGGGGTGCTTAGCTTGCCTATTTGTGCTATGCTTGTATTGGTGGTCAAATCTAGATGGTTGTAAAGAAGTTGTTAACTGAGGTCATGGTGGCACATACCTCTAATCCCAGGTATGTGAGAGGCTAGGGCAGAAGGGTCACAAATTCAAGCCCAGCCTGGGCAACTTAGTGAGCCTGTGTCTCCAAATACAAAAAAAAAAAAAAAAAAAAAAAAAAAAAAAAAAAAAAAAATTTAGCGCTGGAGATGTGGTGATCATAGTGTATCAATAGACACCCATCTGTTGTAACAAATTTCCTATTACAGTGGAGGGTTTTGACAATGTGGAGAAGCTAGATGAGTGGGAGTGTAAAAGGTATAAGGGAAATAATCTAATCTTTCTTTTAATTTTGCTGTGAACCTATAACTTCTCTAAAAAAATAAGACTTCAAACAAAACAAAGAGTAGATTGAAAGTAAACTAAAATTATCAACATTTGCAGGCCGGGCATGGTGGTGCACGCCTGTAATCCCAGCACCAGGGAGGCTGAAGCAGGAGGATCACTGTGATTTCAAGACCAGCCTGGGCTACATAGTGAGTTCCAGGTCAGTCTCAACTACATAGTGAGACCCTGTCTCAAAAAAGCAAAATCTGACTGGTTATCTGACCTTTAAAAACATTTACATATTCCATATCAAGGAATTATTGATATTTCTTAGATATAATAATGGTGCTGTAATTATGTTTAAAAAAAGAAAAAAATTCCCTTTTAGTTAGGGTCGCATACTAAGGTGGTTGATATGGTATATGCCTATAATTTCCTTCACCATGCACCCCCAAAAAATAGCGGGATAGGTGCTTACTAAAATGTCAAAACTGCTACAGACAAGTGCACTACTCTACTTTTGTGTATGTTTGAAGATATCGGTAATAAAATATTTTGAATTGTTTTAATGTTCATGATAGGAAAAAAATTAAGTCTGCAAAGCAGACTGGGATTTCACGACAAAGAAATAGCAACTGAGAGGACCTTTATATTTATTTATTAAGATCTCTTTATATTTATTTACTAAGATGTGCTGCCAGGCAGCACAATCCCTTTTGAACAGGAGCAACTTAAAGAGAAACAATCAGTTAAAAATAAGAGACCTATCTCTTTGCACATGAAGTCTTGGCCTAAGATTTTCCCCTATCACCCAGAAAGCACTGTCTAACATTTATTCCAGACATTTACAGTGTGATTTTTTTTTTTTTTTTTTGGAGACAGGGTCTTGTTTTGTAGCACAGGCTGGTCTCGAACTCTGTTATACTCCTGCCTCAGCCTCCCAAGCACTGGGATTATAGGTGTGAACAACTGCATCAGGTTTATGATTTAATCTTACCAAGTACATAGTAATTAAAAATGTATGGTTATTTGTTGAGTGCCCTGGGATCGCTTAAATTATGTGTTCCTAGTATTTAACATGACAGTGACAGTCCACAGGAGAAATCACTGAGACAAAAATGATCACCCTGGCAAAGACTGTCTCTACACTTTGCTCTCAAAGTAGTATAAGAAGACAAAAAGCACATCATCCCTCACTCTTTCCATTTCCTTAGCTGAAGTATTAAAGATCCTGTGGAAAGAGAAGTTTTTAACCTAGTGTTAGAAAAAAACAAAAAACACCTCAGTGAGTGCATACTGAGGCCTAAACTAAAACTCTTGGGCTGCTTTTTTTTTTCCCTGTACCATGAATCATACTGAGGACCTTGCACTTGCTGGGCAGGTGCAGTGCTACTGAGCTACACCCCAGGCCCTTCTTGGGCTGCTTTTAAGTCAGCAGATGGAGCAGATCAGTTGTGGCCACCTCACAAAGTAAGGGAAGCCTGGTGAAACAAGTCAGTTAAGAAAGCAAAAGGAAGACAGGCATGGTGGCACATGCCTGTAATCCTGCACTCAGGAGGCTGAGGCAAGGGGATTGTTGTTGAGGCCAGCACAGTGAGTCCAAGGCCAGTCTGAATTGCACAGCAAGACCCTGTTCTCAATCAATCAATCAATCAATCAACCAATTTATTTATTTATTTAAAAAAGACGAAAGAAAAGAAAGCAAAAGAAGATTTGAAGTTCTGTGTGTATGAATTCCCTAGTCACTTAAAAAGGGGAGAGACTGGGCTCAGATTTAGCAGGCACTGCGCCTGCCTCACAAGCACAAGGTCCTGAGTTTGACCCCTGGGATCAAAAAAATAAGGGGAAGAGATTAAACTAGACATGGTGGCACATGCCCATAATTCTAGTACAGTTTGTACAAGGGCTGAGTTACTCCTTTGCCTTCATTTAACTGTAAACACCAACCATACTATCCTAATGATTATTTGGGCTTAAACGTAGGAGGTGGCACAGATTGCTGACATCAGAGAGAAAGCCAGTGGGAGGCACCTTGGATGAGTGGTGTCTGCCCCTATAAATACTGGAAGCCTGAATTATCTAAGCCCCTTTTCTACCCCTTTGCACTTGAGTCCCTTTTTTCCTTCACCCTCTTTCCCTTCACCCTTCTCCCTATTCCTGCTGCCATTCTTTGATCTTCAATAAATATACTTACTACATACTACAAGGTGTAAGCTTGGCAATTCTTTCCTTGTTGTACACAAGAACCTAGATTATTTTTGGCCCACTCAAATGTAACATCTGATGAGCTGAGCCAGGAGGACTTTACCAAACCTCAATAACTCACAGGACCACAAGCCAAGAGACTTTATTACAGCACAGCGGCCTAGAGACCTCACCAGACTCAGTGACACCGGCAGCCTAGAGACCTTTGGAGACCTCAGGAGAAGTGGACAACCAGACAACCCAGGGAGCAAGGAATATAACCCCCACTCTATTGGGAGACTCTGTCTGGGTGAAATATTGATTCCCAGGAGGAGAGGTGGACCAACTGCCATATATGGAAAAGGTGAGATTGTGGGACAAAAGGTTTCTGTTCTTATGGAGGACAGGAGAGGCCCTACCAATCATTGGGCTTATATTCTGTTGTTGATCCACACAATGCAGAGAGTCTACCTTGGAGGCTGTGGAACAGGCCTCAGCAGGGATGGGCATAAGCTAAGTGGAACAAAGGAAAAGGTCACTTGAGCAGGGGAGAAGACAAATGCTTTGTCTACTGGTATAGCTTCCCACAGCATGACACCAGGAAAGACAAACCTGGCCCATGCATACTGTTGCTTTTCTCTGTGGCGTACTTGCCCTGAATAAACACAGCCCTTTGTTTAGAGCCAAGGGTGTCTGTGATTCCCACAGTTTGAGTGCAGTGGGTCATGCATCACATGGAGGGATTTCTTTCCATAGGATTTAGAAATTTTCCTTTTCCTTTTGATTCTCCCTCACCCCCTCACCTCTCAGGTATCAAAGTGTTCCCTTTAATTGTTGGTTCTGGATAATTCAAAAACAGGATTAAGAGACACAATGTCTTCCTGCAAGGGAACAGAGTTACTGATCCATTTAAACCTTACACCATTTCTTCCACGTGAGCCAGTAGGAGGCAGAGCCTGCTCCAGTTGACTCATCTAAACTGAGTCTAGAATGCTTCTGAGAGCTGTTACTTTCTAGGGTAGCTTGCTGATATTGAATTTGCTCTCCTTTTTAACCAGTTTTCCTTTCATTGCAGTAACTGGGTTTAAATTTATACTG